TAAATAAACGTTGAAAAAAAAAAATTAAAAAAAAAAAAATTATTTTTAATGTTTTATTTATTGAGAGAGAGCGAGCAAGCACAAGAGGGCAGAGAGGGAGATACAGAATCTGAAGTAGGCTCCAGGCTCTGAGCTGCTCACACAGAGCCTGACGCAGGGCTAGAACCCACAAATCACGGAATCATGACCTGAGCCAAAGTCACACGCCTAACTGACTGAGCCACCCAGACACCCCGGGAAGTACCTTTAAAATACAGAATTACATCTAGCACTCCAATCTATTCTGTTGAGTAAACTCCCACCTTTGACAAACTAGTGCTCTAATTCTCAAAATGGAATATCAAATACTAAACATTGTATTAAACATTATGATTTTCGAACTGTAAGAAGACATTATCCATCTATTGTTAGGATTCTGCTTTATGGGATGGAAGGGATTATGATCAAGACACAATGGAAAGGGCTTCTGCGGTGGCTGCCAAAGTCTCACTTCTCAACTTGGGTGGTGTTCACCTTATGGTAACTCATTAAACCATATACATTTGATCCACATCATTTTCTCTATCTGTATTTTACTTTGCAACAAAAAAAACTTAAAACATTTGCACCTTATCCAAGCAGAGGTTTCCATGCCTCTCAGCAATAGCCTTCCTGAAGCCATGAGAAAGAGGATATAGCATACTATGATGAGGATGCACAGAAGGCAACCTATTCTTCTCTAGCTGGTCAGCCACAATACTGACCAACTTCTTCATTCGCTCATCATAGTCTGTCCAATCACAGACAATCTAGAGGAGGCAAAAAGACATTATTATCCAGAAAACCCCATTCAAGATTTAACAGTTTGTGTGTCTTTGGACTAATTTCAGATAACCCTTTAAAGAACAGGGTCTCCAGCCAGGCTTGGACTAATATGGCACATAACAATTAAAAAGTGACTGCAACACGAAAGCCAATTACTGGCCTGTTATTCTTTACCTGCAGGCAATGAGCCAAGTTACAATAAGCATCAGGAAAATCAGGCTTAAGTTTCAGAGCAGTTCGGTAAGAAGCTATTGCTTCTGGAATATTTCCTGAATCCTGGAAATAAATACAGAGGGATGGTTAAAAATTGTCCTAAAATTAAACATTAGGTGCTTAGATGCACACATAACAAACAGTAGTACCTTATGAATGGAAGCCAAATTGCTGTGCGCATCTGCAAATGCAGGGTTAATCTGAATGGCACGAGTGTAACACTGCAGGGCGCCCTGAACATCCTGCATCTCCTTCAGAGTGTTTCCCATGTTAGAGTAGGCATCAGCAAAGGTGGGACTAATTCTAAAGGAGAAAACAAACATTTTATTGATCTAGCACAAAAATTTTTAACCCCCCTGAATGTAGTCTGTTATTAAAAGTCATCTTAACACAAGCCAAATGTGCCAAATGCCAAACATTTTAAAACGTGAGAGAAAATGATGATAATAACATGACGGTGAGCGTCTTACCGAATAGCCTCCTTATAGTGCATCAGAGCTTCCTGAAGCTTTCCCTGCTGCTGCAGTACACTTGCTAAATTCGAATGGGCAGCAGCAAACTCTGGGAAGACCTATAGTCAAGATGATACCTGAGGTTTAAAAACTTCTACAACAGCAGTAGTAACTTACCACAATAAGAACTTTGCCCAAATACCTTTATATCCCTAAAGTTCTGTCTACCTTTCTCTAAATCTGTTCATTCTTCAAAGCCAAGTAGCTCAAATTCTACCTCTTCATTTTAGATCTCTCCTTGTTTCAAACCACGATGAGACAGACCTCTCCTCATCCTAGTTTATGCTGATTACTCCAGCATCTCTCTCTTCTGAAATCTCTTTTAAACTCCTACCACACCCACCAACCACCACTACAGCTATCAGGCACTAAAATTATACTTATTGGCAACCTCTCTTGAACTGTAACTTACTGTTTAACTTTTTTGTGATCTTATCTATTCATAAAATCATGAACTCAATGTAGAGTCTTTCTTGAATGTCCCACAAGACTTCACTCAAACCGTAGCTACTCAATTACTAGCTTCATGAATGGTTCAACCACAATTTTTACAAAAGAGGTGGACGAAATGGCTAACTTTAACTGCTTTTCCTCTATTATCACAGACAAAATATCCATCCACACCACCCTGAACATACTTCCAATGCTTTACGATATAAGCGAACTGCCTCTTCAATGTTTCCCTGTTCTCGTTTGATATTGGCTAGGTTATTCAGAGAGTCTGCATGGGTAGGACATAACCGGAGAGCTGTATTATAACAATCTTCTGCTTCAGCAACCTAGAAAACAAAACAAATTATTCAAAACGTCCACAAAGGAATCACAGAGCCACCACTGATGTTATTCTAACAACTGCTTGGTTAAGCTGAGGGGCTGATAATATTCTAGAAAATAGGTCATTTTTGCTATTCTCTCAACCAAAACTCCAAAGTGAAACTACTGACCACCTCAATGCTTAATAACAATACGCACAAAAACAACTTTTTACTCCTATCAAGTAACAAAGAAATAGACTGAATAAATGTCCTTACACTGCCCTTCTCTTTGAGAGCATTGGCTAAGTTGCAGTAAGCGTCAGGGAAATGTGGTTGCAGTTCAATAGCTCGCCTGTAGGTGTCTATCGCCAGATCTATCAGGCCTTGCTCATAGTATACACAAGCCAGGTTGCCGTGCACCACTGCGTGATTTGGACTCAAGCTGAGGGCTCGAAGGTAAGCTGCCACAGCTCTGAAAACAAAAAATGAAAAATAAAAAAAAACCACACACACATAATGCAACTAACTTTCAATGGCTGCTTTGCTACAATTAACTCATGTTATAATACTGTACCAAAGCATATCAATTATAATTCACACTATACTATACTTAACCTCAACTCAAAATTCACCCTAATAAAATATATTTTTACACTGAAAAATTTTCTATCTCCACATAATAAGCTCTCTCCTGACAACAAAAACAAGTCAAAAGTCAGGATTTACTTAGCTCTGTGAATCAAAGAAATAATTTAGTCTAAAAGATAACCATTTTGGGGCGCCTGGGTGGCTCAGTCAGTTAAGCATCCAACTCTTGATTTCGGCTCAGGTCATGATCACGTGAACTAAGAGATCGAGCTCTGCACAGACAGCGCAGGAGCCTGCTTGGGATTTTCTCTCTCCCCCTTTCTCTGCCCCTCCTCTGCTCATGCACATACACTCTCTCACTCTCTTCCCCCCCAAAATAAAAAATAATAAATAATGACCATTTCAACAGTTTATATAAGAGAAAAGTCAACTAAATTCTTAGTGAGAAGGATAATGGCTTTGAGAAAAGCCAACAATGAAAAGTCAGGCAACAATGCCTATAAATAAGAGGTAATACATCAGACATGATGAGGGAAGAGCAATATACTAGAAAAGGAAAATGTGTTTGAATGGACCGCGGCCATAATTTTAGTCCCAAGTCTCAGGTGTCAATGCAACAAAGACTCAAGAAAATTTATCAGATAGAACATTCTCTCACCGGTCAAAAATCCGTGCCTCTTTCAAGACATTTCCTAAGTTGATATAAGCATCCAGAAAATTGGGGTCAAGAGTGACAGCCTAAAAATTAGAAGGCAGCTATTAGATCAAGTTAGGATTTCAGATAAACTTTCCAATTACAAGTTTTTATTCTGAGATAATTTTAGGCCTCCAATTACATTTTCTAATTAAATCTTATTTCTTTCACTGAAAATAAAACCCAGTCATTTCAGTACCCTCTCATTATTCACAAATCTCAAGGTTATCAAAGTAACTGCTCATGTAATGTGAGAGCAAAATGTGTCCTGAAGGGAAACATTTTTAATTGGGTCCATTCCAATTTTAATGAGCTAAATACTTCTAATGGTTGGCCCTATTTTATTCAAAATTAATAAGGCTAACTCTTCTAGGGGTGCCTGGCTGGCTCAGTCTGCAGAACACATGACTTTTGATCTCGGGGTCATGGGTTCGAGCCCCACATTATGTGTGGAGATCACTTAGAAATAAAATCTTCAAAAAAAAAAAAAAAAAGTACATACTGTCTGGTTGTGTCTTTTCTGCCACTAATAAATGCCTAAATCTACTAATGGTGATACTCTGATTCTATCATTCCTTTTTCATTTACTAGCTGGAACACTTCTATAAATAAGAAACTTCCCCCTATCCAACTACTGGGTTACCCTGAGGTCCAGTTCATACAGGAGGAAGATAAATGCTTTATTCTTCCCTCTTTAACCAGTTTTCAAAATGAATTGCTCCTGATCTTCCAAAGGTGACCACTGAATTTCTTCTTAGTATATTTATAAACTCATGGATTGAAACACATGAGAAGTTTCAATATATTTCCGTTATAATATTCCTAATGTTCAAGTCCCATCTTTATCCACTGTGAGCCTCTTCCAGTTGCCTCCTGAGTCCTTTAGACATAATCAAAGTAATACCAAAGCTTCCATGCTTTCTGGTACAAGAGGGCATTCCAGATGAATTTTGTATATTTCCTACCCACAGCTAGAATCAGCCTTTTGACCAAGAAACCCTGCTTTTTTAAAGTTGCCCATTTAAAAATGGATTTTTAATTACTACAGTACATTTTCAATGCAAAACTGGAAACTGCCATATCATATACCATCCAGCAAATGCCTTAAATATGGTCAGAGAAACAAGGATATTATGTGACTGATCATGTAAAGGCCTATTATTTAGCTCTAAATAAAAACAGCCCGCACACATAAGCACTTCCTAAGCACCAATTATTAATTTAATAACTAACCTTTTCAAAGTGATGAATTGCAAGCCAAATCTCCCCTTGTGCATTGAAAACACAGCCAAGATTACTCCAAGCTACTGCAAAGTTCGGTTGCGTCTCAATTGCTTTCAAATAACATGCCTTGGGGGGGGGGGGGTAA